GGCTGCTCAGCTCGGGCTGGACTCGAACCGCTGTTGCTCAGAGCTCAAACTCTTGAGCGAGCTCTTAACCAACTGAGCCACTCGGCCGGCCCATTCATTATTTTTCTTAGTTAATGAGGTAACACTCAACAAATTGCCCAAGCCAGAAAGTTCCAAGTCACCTTCAGTTCCTCCTTCTTTTTGACCTCCTTCCAATCAGCTAAAACATCCTGCTGTTTAATATCTCTTGAGTCCATCCTCTCCCTTTCATCTCTGCTGCCACTATTTTAGTTTAGTCTCCTCAACTCTTACCTTAACTTAAAATTCCTTCTAAGGTTGTATTCTAGCCTCTGTCCACTCTTGCCCCATCAAATCCATTCTCTACACTGCTGCCAGAGTGCACTTTTTTAAAATATAAATTTGACCGCATCTTTCTCCTACTTAAAGCAAGGCAGTGTTTTTTTTTTTTAATTTCAAACTCTTTAGCTTACTTAAACAAGGCCTTTACAATCTGAGTCTCCTTTACAAGCTTTTGTCAAACAAAACTACATTGCAAGTTGCATTTTATGCGACTTGAATTAGGCAAATCAAACGAATATAATACAAAAAGAATAGTCTCACTTTGTAGGCAAAATAGAAGTATGTAAACTCCAAATTAGCCTATCTAAAACTGACATAATTTCAAAGCTGGTAGGCCAAGTGAGTTGTGCACTGTTAATATATTGTCACATGGAAGTGTCTCTCATACCTGGTAGAATTATCTGCTTTCATGTCAGTAGTATGTAAACTAGGTTATTCTTGAAATATCACAGAAATGCTTGAGACAGTTTATTGCTGTGCTATTGATGTTTTAACATTCACTACTACTGTAATTTAAAATCTTTTATATCTGTAACAATGTTAACAGAGTGCTAGGGGGTATTATTACTGCTTGTGCTGAAAAACATCTCCAAATAAATAAGATGGAACAAAATTTAGATGCAAGAAAACAACATTAAAATGGTCAAAATACCACCATGATAGTCAGTGTGGAGAGAGTGCTCTGCAAAACACTAGTAATAATGCTGAGAAATTTGAAAAAAAGAAAGCAAGAATACACTTTGGCTGCTGTACATTTATGGACTCCAAAGATATCTCCTCCCGTACTTTAATATTTATTCCCAAGGAAAAGTTAATTTTGAACTAGTGAGATCTTCAGAAATGCATTCTTCCTGTAAAATGTGACTGCATTTGCATTAATTATGTAAAAATGACAAGGCGCAAGCCTCCCTGCTTCCTGGCTTTTGCTCACCTTATTCCCTCTTTGTGGAATGTTCTGCCCCTGGCCTTGACAATGCCTGCCTCTCTTTTCAATACAGCACAATCATCATTTCCTCTAAGAAACTTCCTACAACACCAGCAGGCAGAAGGAGGATCTCTTGGATCTCTTGTAAATTCAGCTCTTACAACATTAATCATACTATTTTGTAATTGTTTATATATTTGTCTCTCCCGCTGTGGCACAGTTCTTTATTAACACATTAGGTAAAATAATCTATCTGTGGAACTAATAACTTCCATATATTTCAAAGTAGTAATGATTTTAAACGATATTTCAAGATCTCTGAAACAATTACAACACAATAGGAAATATGTATTTCTATTAGTGACAGTTACAGGTATTGCCAAAAACTGTGGTCTGTTTCCTATACCATAATGGAAGGAACTGCTGAATTTCAGTTAGAAGTTGGTGAAAATAAATACATAATTTCTTTTTTCCCCATCCAAGATAAAAAATTTCCCAGATTTAGAACCCTCGCTCCATAGACAAAGGTCTGAAAAGACACACCATATTGGAGTGTGGTGGGGTAGGATGAGACAGGGGAGAAGAGCAAAAAGAGAAATTTTTAACATTTTCAAATCCTGTATTGATTTTTTTTAACAGAAAGACTGTGTTTATGTATTACTTGTAAAAAGCGTAGCATCCAGATTCTAGATCTAAAACTGCTGCTGCTGAGGGAGAAAGGGGGCCATCAGATGCCAGAGCCTTTCAGCCTCCTCCCTGTCTGCCCCAGCTCCCAGGTGGGAACATCATTTAGCGCTTTAATAACGCAGTCACAAACCTTCAGCCTCTCATGCACAGGAACCCACTGGTTGTAGGACAGATAGAACCAATCTGTAGTTAAAGGACATGATTTAAGTGTGTTTCTGACATCCCATATTTATATCGATAATATTATTCAGTTCAATAATGGGACAATAATTCAGTTCAATAATGAACCACTTATCCACGCTTCATAACACTGTTTAATGAGAAAATGCTTTCCAGATTCCAAATATCTGATGGTTTGCAACAGAACGTTTAAACATGTGTATTAATTAGCTGAAGACGCCCAGGTATTTATTAAATGTCCACAGTGTTCATCAGCACACTGACTTCTGAGTTTGGAGGCAGTTACAGGCAGTAAGGAGTAAAAGATTCCTTTTGTGTAAAAGGAACAATCACTACCTTTTAACAGATGACTCTTTGCTTCATTAGGAATAAAGATGGCTGCTGAACCAGAAGACAATTACATCAGCTTTGTGGAAATGAAATTTATTGACAATACACTTTACTTTGTAGGTAAGTCAAAACCAATAGGCCAAATACAGGGCTCAGATACATGTATTCAATGAGAAAAGATGTTGTGAGATGAACTATTGACTCTAGTTGTCACCAAATTGCATTGTAATGCTAATAACATTCTTCTCTGGAAAAAAATATTGGGCCTCTAGAAATTAACTATAACATATCCAAGGTCCCAGCACCTTGTCCCAGCACATGTCCTGTCACTTTAGTTAGCAGTAGCCCACTTACAAGATGGCAGCAGGTGTACATCATGAAAATTCCTCAAAATTGGGTACATTCAGGGAATACAATTTCCCAAAGCTAATTGGTACATTATGTAAGAGATACCTTCAATCTAGAGTTCTGTGAGTGAGTTATACCATTTAATATACATATATTTGACAAACAAAAACAGACTCTTATTAATCTTCCATGGGCAGTTTGGCTTCATTTGAAAGCTTCATAGGAAGTCCTTAGNGTCCTTTAAAAGCCCTACAGGCAGAATACTACAACAGAGCTTTAGGGTTGTACCAGCCCCTCTTCTTAACTTCCTCTCTATAAAGTACCGCCTCCGTTTTTAACCAGCATGAAGCTCCATGTGGCTCACCAGGGCTGCAAGTTGTGGGTTGCGATCCTTTCTTATTCCTGAATAAATCCTTTTTGGCGATGGACTTTTGTTTACAGTGAACACACCTTAGCAAATTATATTTAACATATAAAATTTAATATTTTTCCCCTTTGGCTTATTTAAATGTTAGTTGTCATAAAGACTTGTAAGTATTGTGTGTATATGTTTATTTATTGGCTGTTTGTGAAAAAGCCAATTGTTTTAAATAAGTTTCTAGAAAACAGGTACTCAATTTGTTTAACTTGATTTGCTAATATTGTGAACTATCAGTCACTTAATAAAACGAGGCTAGATAATTATAGTGTAGTTATTGAGAAGTTATTGAGAGTCTTTAAAGGATCTCAATCATTGTCTGAGGACTTATAACAATCTGTTGAGATTTTCCGTATCTGTGGTAAAATGAGGGTAAAAGTAATGAAAATTTCATAAAGCCAAAATATTTACTTTAAAGTATTGTCAATTATTCTTATACTATGTCCTTACTAATTTTTTTGGTGTTAGTGTCCTTGTCCTTTCATGAAATAAAAATATAAAGAATTTTTAGATTTTCAATGTCCTTATCTAGTAAAATATAAAGTTGTCCACTCTGTTTATCTTTTCTTCATTATTATCATTATTGTTTTAATTACTTTTATGGTCCATTAAATCCAAAAGTGTGGGAAATACTGATCTAAATTTCCTCTCTTAAGCCTTCACATTGTATGAGCTCTAAACTGGTAGTTATTTAGTTCTTAAAATATTTACAGGAAAAATGATTCCACCTAATCATAAATGTTTACATCAGGTTAAGAGAATACCATGGACATTTTATCCTATTTTTAAAAATTGCATCTCTGCTGTATAATCTAAATGAGTAAGAATAAGTGAGAGGGTGTAGAGCAGTGGCTCTCAACCTTCCTAATGCCGCGACCCCTTAATACAGTTCCTCATGTTGTGGTGACCCCTAACCATAAAATTATTTTTATTGCTACTCTATAACTGTAATTTTGCTACTGTTATGAATCATAATGTAAATATCTTTTTGTTTTCCGATGGTCTTAGGCAACACCTGTGAAAGGGTCGTTCAACCCCCAAAGGGGACCCACATGTTGAGAACCGCTGGTGTAGAGGGTTATAGTAGCCTAGTGCTTTAAAATATTCAAAGGGTTATCACTATCTCATTAAATCTTCACAAACAACCCTATATCAAAGATATATTATGCTATATCAAAGAGAAAAATGTTTGCCCAAAACAAAGAAATGGGTTAAATGATGCATTCTACATCTTTACAGCTGGAGAAAAATAATTTGCAATAGGCCATTTAACATTAACTTCTTTAGTGCTCTGCTACTGATCACTGTTTGACTCCACTTCATGCTTTCATGTTAATTGGCCCAATTGGACACTACAGTTTGAGGATGAAAACTTGTTATTTCAATTTCAATCATGTGTGTATTCTTATATATACTTTTTTAAAATTAGTTTCAGGCGTGCAAAACAATGTAATATTGGGTTGTCGGAAAAGTCATGATGCATTTTTGCAATGAAAAACAGAAAAAATATGTCACGACTTTTTCGACAGCCCAATAGTTAGACATTTATACCCCTCACAAAGTGATAACCCTCCACCCCCAATCTACTACCCCTCTGACATTGTATATAGGTGTTACAGTTCCACTGACTCTATTCCTCATGCTGTACACTACATCCTGTGACAATATATATAAAATACTTCTTAAATGTGCTATTTTTTTTTCTTCTGATAGCTACCACACCAAGCACCTGTGACCATCTTACCACAGACTTCCTTTGTAATCATCACTACTGTGGTCATGATGTTTTTACAACTTTATGATATAAAAACACTATCTTGTAAAAAACAAAACAAAACAAAAAAATTCAACTAGCTACTTATGTAAGCATTATGTTTCCTAACTCTAGAACCCCTCTGTTTCCATTTAGTCTCTGTATTGGCAAAAAACAAACAAACAAACAAACAAAACAAAAAGATGTCATCTTGCTAATTCCCTACCAGAAAGGTAATACAATTTAACACACGTTCAAGAGAAATTTGTCTAAGAAACTTTGTTTCTGCTAATTATTTTAAAGGTTGTGATATTTATACTCTGCTTTTCAAAAGTTACATTTTAGGTGCTATCATTACATTATAAGAATTATTCTAATAGGGCTAATTATTCAGCACTGTTAGCTAAAAAAGTTTTGTGCTGAAATGTGAGTAGAAAGACTCAAACAGATTAATGTGAGAAAGATGCTTCTAATTGACCAAGCAGGTACTTTTTAAAAAGTTGCTTGGATGTACTTCTGAAAGAGGTACAAGCTTTGGATGGTCAGAACTCCAACTTTTACAGAAGAAATTATTTCATTAAAATTGTGATTTTACATTAAAAACCAATATCCGTATTCTCTGACAATTAAATCCTGTTGCCCTAAGAAACAGCCCACGTTTGAAGGCGGGTCCAAGGCGTGCCAGAAGTTTCCTCCTCCTTCTTCCTCGTTCCTCCCTAGCGCTTGCCCCGCTCCTCCCCAAACAACTGTGGAATCCCGCCCAGCAGCAAGGAGTCTGATTTCCTATGCTTTCGGCATTTCTGGCTGCTTGCTTTTGCTGCTGAAGGGGCTGCCACCTTCTACCGTCTACACAGCCTCAGGAAAAGAAAGAGACCTCAAACCTTCCAAATCGATTTCTCTGCTAGGAAACTATTGATCACAGGTAAGAAATATCATTCCTCTTTATTTGGAAACCTGGGCATGGCAATCAGAAATCAACAAGCTAGAAAAGCGAAAAAGACAAATTATATCATAGAATTATTATGAAAATTGCTTTGACTTCGTGAGCCCCCTGAAAATCACTGGTTTAGAATGATAAAATAAATAAGCTTTTCTTTAATGGGAGTTGATAATCTTGATGGAATCTGCATCAGCACCCTTAGACTGGGCTACCGTTGGAGAATTATTATAGCATTCCTCAGGAGAATTTTATTTCACAATAAGGAAGGCACTGAGTAAATATCTCTCTTTTGAAAGATGAATAACAAAAATTAGGACACCCTTAAAATCCTCTTTTCTTTTTGCCTATATACAGCTATTTCAAGTTCTATTAAATTTTCCTTCAAAATATCTTTTTTTTTAATCTGGCTGGTTTGTTCATATAACCCCTACATGAATATTAGGAATTCTTACTTGAATTCCTAAATGAATTCTTATAGTAGTTTCATAGCCTATCTCTAATCTTTTTCATAATGCACTTACCAGCACAATAACCAGTTTAATTTAATTTGAGATTAATTTCAAATGCTTCTACATGACTTCCAAAGCCCTCCATACTTTTAACCCCGCCCTACCTTCTGTTCAGTGCCGGGCAGTAGGATTGTCCTGCTACAATTAAAAAAATGGCCCCATTCAGTCCACCCCCACCACAACATTGTTTTAATTATCATATAAATGCTCTTCCATTTGTTTAATCTTAAGCATTCTTTAAGATTAAATTCAATTCTCCTTTTCACACGAAGCCGTTCCAACTACATCAGTTCCATTTGGCTTTTTGCTTTGAGCTTATATTTAGCAATTGATTATATATATCTTTTATCCTTAATTATTTACCCAAATTTTTGCTTAAATTGTCTTCCACCCCCACCTCCACCACACCCACATACATACATTAAGAAGATGGCAAAATTTTCAAGGACAAAATGATTTACAAAACTGTAAAGTTAGCTTTCAATCTGCCACGATAACTACATATCTGATTTTAGGGAATTAGGTAATACGCTTCCTCATTTCATCCTACACTCTTCCACAGAATTAGAATTCCACAGCAAGGATAAACATAATTATAGTTGCTTTTCAAGTTCAAGGCATTTTTACTTTCAATCTAACAGTATGTTTTTAAACTCCTACTAGCTTAACAATGCTGGCTACATAATAAATAATCAATATATATTGTTTTAGAATTATGAGGAAGTGGCTACTAGGGCATTTGCCACATAGAAATGGTTTTCTCCTTGCAGCCTTATCTAGAATCTAGAATTACAAAATGTTGGGGCTGCAAAACACCTTAATGATGGGCCATTCAACTCCCTGCTTATCCAAATGAGGAAACTGAGACCTTCAGAATTAAATGACAAGCCCCACACAGGACTGGAACACATGTGACCTAATTTCCATCATGGTTTTCTACCATCCACTAACCTCGACTAGTTTCCAAGGCTTGTATAGCTAAAACTTCTTTTGTTTTAAAGAACTAATTGTCACATATTCCTCGGAGGATCTTTCTCAGGTGGTTTATAACTCTTTAAAACAACAAGAAAAGTCAATCTGAAAATCCTAGAGGAGATATTTTTAAGCATTTCTATCCAGTGGGAACTATCATTTTCATAGATTACAGTTAAA